AACTAATTCCGCCTCACATCTCGGCGTGTTCGTCACACCTGAAGGTTGTAAAGTGATACTAGAAGATTGGCGGGACCAAAGGCAAACATGCTTGAAGGTGAATCGATCGATCGGAAAGTTCGTCGATCTGGTTAGCTGCATAGGTCTTGGTGGATTGGAGAAGGACAAATTCACTACCCGAATTTAAAAAACCATGGCAATGTTTTACAACCTCCGACATTTGTGGCGTTGACGTGACATCATTTTGACTGACAAGGATCAAGTGTACTAATATGCAGTCCAACATTTCTTACTTTATGGAACGGGGACATGACCGCTGCATGCAGATCTTCAGGAGGCTTCCGAGCACCGTTATCTCCGAAGCCTTGTGCGCGTCTGGTGAGAACACCAGGGGATAATGTTGAGGAACGACGCGAGGTGTCTCTCGTGAAAGTTGACTTCCCCTCAGTATTTCAGCTGTTCACACCACATCCTTCGTTGGTTAGTCCATGTACCTCGTATGTCAAGGGACTGTGTGCCTCGTGGAGCCTTCTTCCAGCTCTGTATCGTATGGGGACGACCAAGAGGCGGTAAGTTCATTATTTGAAAACGAAGTACAGAAGCCTCTACCGATCAGCTTAGTCGAATTTAACTTGCCGATTGTGATCTTGCCGATTGGGAACCCATAAACAAAACGAACGAATAAATAGTGATCCTTACAGTTACGGATGTGTTGCGCAGGCAATGGATGAACCTGCATGAGAGCTATTATCTCCACTGTGTGGTTTTCACTCCCTACCACGCCGGAAAACAGGATTACTTAGCGTTCATGAACTTGTTGGGTCGGCGCGTGGCTGATATTCCTTGTTTTCCGTATCTTCGGTAGACAGAACTTTTTGGGGATATCAATATCGCCAAAAAATCTATATCGTCATGTGCGCTAACAAACTTCCGGCATTTTTCAAGGTCAAACAGGATATTTATTTAATGTCACTTCTGTAAATCGCCTGTTTGGAGCATTAGAGTTGTGTCCAAGGTTTCGTCTTCTTACTATTCCACTGTACTAAGAGTCGGGGTCAGGCAACATAGCTGGGGACAGAATATCGTCGCAGTCCGCGCATATTATCGTTTGCTCGCTGCTTGATCGAAACAGAACTGTCAACTGGAACCACTGCACTTCGCTACATTATTTGTAGCTGATAAGCTTAATGGAACTGAACTTGAGTTTTATGTACGATATTGATGACACTGAATGTTAGACAGAGTCCTACGTCTAAACCATCTTACCGCCAAAATTAGACACTGCAACGGGCATGTTATTGGCTCGCCTGTCCAGCATCCAGGCGAGCCATGACCGTTCGAAAACGTGATCCCAAAAGTTGATTACGGTCCATTATCTGATTGCCAGCGCCGCGTGTGAATTTCCAGAATGTTGTCGTTACACATGTACTCCAAGTGGATATTTGATTTATTTTGGGCGTTCAATACACTGTATCCCTAATGGTTCTTCTGGATACGATAGCTTTGGAGTATCAGACCGAGGACTAATTGGGGGCATAGCTTTTATCTCACTACGACGGTGGCTATGTTGCGAATTGTTTGTAGCTCGGGTGCGTCGATTAGTGGTCTATCTGTTCGCTGAGCTTGACAGTTTCGTCTCCAATCATGGAGAAATCATCAATGCGTGGTTTGGTGCGTAAGTCCCCTCTGCTTACGGTTATACGATCCGTACGTGCCTTTCTGAACATCGTATTGGTTTGTTCGCATTGTGATCTTTGCTTTGTGATCTATATTTCCCGCATTCGACTGTTTGCTGAATAGCTTCTTCTCGAGGGATATCAGTTGCTATTTAGAAACTATATCTCCGCAACCACAATGCGGGAAGTGCTCACTCAACTGTGCACTGATGATGCCTCCTGGATTGGAACAAGCTAACTGCCAAGCTCGACGAACAGTCAACGGCCCTTTGATCAGTAAGTTCAGTTTGAAACCAACTTGAGAATAGAAAAAACTGGTCCGGGGTAGAGTCCCGGTACCAACCTGACACAACCATCCTGAATTGTCGGCGACTCCAAACGTTCATTCAGCCATTGTGGGTCTGGTGTCTAGCTAGGCAGCTGCCAGTTCGCTCTGCACTACTGTTGTTGTTGAATCGTGTCCAGCACGGCCATTGCTGTCCATGAGGAGTAGGGATACTGATCGCTAGTTATGGTTCACTGAGTTTTTCCCAACACTTATGGCATGCCGACCGGTTCTCCTTATTCACCTTGAACTCCAAAAAACGGCCAAAATCGGTCATCTAGAGGGGCGGTCGTATCCTAGAGGGAAATGGTGCAATAGCTATGCACTGCCACGCGGTCGTACTCGAGAATAGCATCGCTACAGAGACTGTATTGTGCGTCATTGACATCAGTAACCTAAACTAGAGGTACCTGTTTATCTGTCAATCAGGAACGGATCCGAAATATTCTTTTACTGGTTTGCTTGGTTTCTATGACATACATACCCGAGGTTTTGTGGTCGCCTAACCGGGTGCATAGATATTGCGCCCAACCAGTATTAGACAGCCATGCTGCCGATCATACAAATTCCTCTGAGATATTTCTCCGTGCCTACACAAGGCTCTGAAATTGGCCTCTTTAACTCTTAGCTCTCGGTTTCAAGCTCAATATGGATTCTTCCTGGAGAGAATTTGTGGTCATTCTTCAAGTACCAAATCAGTTTCAGTGTTGTAGCTCACCGAAGGGATGTCACCACGCAATGTTTATACATTTCTCAATCGAAATTTACTCATGCAGTTGAAATCAATTTATGCTGAAAAAGGAGAAGCACTTTACAGCTGTTTCGACCTTATTGGGAATCATGTTCATCCCACGAATCTCCAGGGCTATTTGAATTTGCGATCCCTGGGCTAATGGAATCAAGTCTGGAGAAAGACTGGTGGTGAGCAGCAAATAAAACCCACCGGTTTAGGCCGCTGGCTTATGTACTATGCATGCCTAACCAACTTCCCTACATTTGTATCACTGTCGTCTAAACAGTCCCTTTTCCGTCTCGGAGCGATTGTTCTGGTAAGCCCATGGGATGGGAAGTGATGTTGGCTTACCATAATTGCACCGGGGTATCAGGAGAGCTTTCAAAGGGAAGCGACGTGAATGCAAATCCTTTAAATTTCGCTGCCACCTACAAACAAAGTCTATCTAATGACACTTTTTGGTCTAAACCATTATGAGTATAACGTTCGCGGAACAGGCGATGAGATGGCGACGTGGAATATGAGTGGCTGCACTCAAAGTGGGTGATGTGAAGTCTTGGCTTATTCTTGTGGAGCACGTGACACTGTGTGCGTGGCAGGAAATTCTGCAGAATATAATATGTAAGCAATCCCAATACAGACCACCTTATCACTTCCTATCCAGACTGGTTTGCTGAAATTTATATGTCGTCCTCATCAGGATTTGTGTTGGTTGCAGTTCGCTAAGGATGCTAGGTGAAATTAGTTACTATTGCCGTCTTCTACATT